ACGGGTGAATATCAGTCACCCTTTAAATAATTTTCACTGTTCAGACTCGTGTTTTCCTACAAAAGCTACTCCTGGCCCCAAAGACAGGATCCTGGCTGAGTGATCTGACCTGGTTCACCTCTTCTTAGCTGCTCCTCTCCCCTCAGAGAGGAAATGAATCCAAACTTCCACAGTGATGTAAAGACTGATTAAATTTATTTGTATTTTCTTCTCCCAGAGCCAAAGCACTCCATGGTAGTGGGGGGCATAAACTTGCCCAGTTTCAGCAGGAAATGGAAATACTTGACTGTTCTTGCAAAACTTTCCAGAATAAAAGTGAAAACTTTGATATAGTTCTTCACAGTGAGAAGTGGCAATATTTTCTATTTATGCTTCACTCACTAGAGAGGTTTTAAAATCTATGAACCTATGGTTTCAAAACCACCACCCCTATACTATTTCCAGTTATCACTGAAATCTCTCAACTCTGTAGAGTTCTTGCAAAAGTCTTACCCGATTCTCACAATTGAAAGTGGATCCCAACTGAAGCTTTCTAGTTTTACTCATTATAAAATAAAGAGTGTGTCCCTGGGTAGGTAAGAGCACAGGACTAAGAACACCACACAATTATTATCTATTTTACACACCATGGTATCTGAGCACTCAAACAAGATGAGAATCAATTTCTCATTTTCTAAGATTAAGTTTTATGAACTGTGGTCATTTATTACCAATTTTAAGACCCAGGTAGTGCCACAAACTACTTTAAATTAAAACTACCAGAAAACTAATTTATTAGCAAAATAAAATGTATTAGGTAAGAGCTACTCAAGAATACAGTAAAAAGAAAAATTATTCTCAGCACCAAGAGAAGGAAAAGAGAGAGCCTTGGGCAATGAGAAAAATCTAAGTGGATGTGTGGAATTCTTTCTCTACTTTACTCTTTTATCTCCCCCTCCACTCCAGGTAGTGGAATAAGGCTTCTTGAAATTGCTGGCATAAATGCCTTTGCTGATGCAGAAGGAGAATTGAAACCTACTAACCAAAAACATCAAACACTGACATGGATTCATTGCACCAAAAAAAAAAAAGAGAGTTAGAATCCCAAAGAGGTTTGCCACAGCCATGCTTAAAACCTTGATGCTGCTTTGTTCTGTGCTAAACATTGCCATCCTTGCCTCCTTGTCCTTTCTTGCTCTGCAGGAGCCTTTATCAGTGCACCTCACCCTGGGCTCTGCTGGCTCTCCCAACTCCCACAGCAGATTTGGGACTTACTGAGGGTAATCCGTTAGTTCTGCATTTCCTTAGGGGAATAAGAACAAAAGAAAGCCCAGAAAATCCAAAGCAGAAAGAAATGGAAAAGAGTCAGGCTAGGAATGATTTTCCAGGGATATTTTTTTTTAGTTTCATTGCTAAAAGGATTTTAGGTTGAGAGGTACAATCATGATAATTTAGTCTGACTAAATTTTCCAGTCTCTTATGCAGCAGCTCCAGCTCGATTTGTAACCCACTGAGTGACCTTGTCACTTCCCCTCTCAACAGCCCCTGCAGGGGTGAGAACACCACCTACCTCCTGAGATCTCTTCATCTCCAAAAGCTGGATGCCAGCCTTGGGAAAACTTGGCAATTTGCCAAACAGTATTAACAAACAGGCCCCATACTGATACTTCACATGAGAAAGAAATAGCTGAGCAAACCAAGTGTCGTTTTGGGGTAAATGTAGTAGAAGTTTTCTCTTTTGTTTAAATTAGAATTATCTCCCTCTTACTGTCAGGCCTAAGTCAAAGCTAGCACATTTTAGCCCATGAAGAAACTTCAGGAGTCAAAAACATGCCATTATACTGAACTGACAACATCATATTTCAGGGCAATTGATGGGACAGAAAATATTTACAAAATATTAACACCAGCAAATTATTATTAATATTATCCTTACAGACACGTTGAAAATACTATTCATTTAAAGAGTGTTTGCCTGAGATTCTCATCTTGTTCTGGCTTCTCTTTTCCACCCTCTGCTGCAATTAAAGTTCCATTAACAGCTCTAAAGAAAACCTTCCAAAGCAGCACCTTCCTCTTGCCCACCTAATATCCTTCCTTGCCCACCTCAGCAGCTCTATCTAAGCATAATTCTCTTTTTTTAAAAAGCCCAGAATCTCACATTTGTCATGTTCAGGAAGGGGTCTGAATTCATGAGTCTTTGTGGGCACTTTGGGGGCACCCTAAAACTACTTTTCATAAAATACTTCCCGTGTAAATCAAAGTCCCTGATTCTCTCCAAAATTTAGACAGGTACATTTCAAGAAGCTGAACTGTTATTTTGGAGAAATAGCTTTTTTTACAAAACGACTGCTTTTTAAAACACTAAAGGTTTTCTTTGTGGTGATAAGCATTACTGCAGAGTGATGCAGTTAAGAATAGATCAAGACAGTTTAAAGCTGACTCAAAAATGCAATCCTGTAAGGCAAGAAAAGTTAGGGAAAAAAAGATATTATTTTTCTTATTTTACATTAAACTCATAAGTGTCTGGAGTATCTTTATAAATACATTATGGTATGGAAGAAATCTATCATTAGGTATTTGGTAGCTTTTTATTGTACTAAATTAGCTGACCTCAGAAAACGTGTTTTGCTCCTTGTGCCTCAGTCCCTACCCCATCTCCCTCTTGCAAAATATTTACAATAGGATCCTATTCACTTATTACTTCATAAGGACACTGTGTATTTTTTTTTGCCAGCAGAAATCCCCAAGTATGTCTTTATTTCCTAACAATAATCTTTACAACAGCAGTAAAAAAGAAGGAATATCAGATCAGCAGCAATGAAAAGAGCTGTCAGAAAATATCAATAAAAAAATATTCCAGGTACCCCTGTACTCTAAACTTCCACTTTGAAGCAGATGTTTTTTTTTAAAAAAAACCAAAACAATTCTTTATCTGTTTGCTATTCATGTTTTGTTAATAATTTAACAGAACTGTCAGTGCCTTGGTGGCATCAGTGCCATCACTGCAGGGATACCCTCAGCTGCACAGTGCAGGATTCCTTTGCTCCTTGCAGCAGAATCATTTCCTTTCTCATGCAAGGGCAAACAGTCCCCAACTGTTCAGACAGCTATTATTGAAATACCAGATTATGACTCTGCAAATCCTCTCCAAAAGAAGGCAAAACATACTCAGATTTAAAAAAAAAAAAAAGTTAGAATCAGTGAATGCTACAATCAGTCATTTTAACTCAGCAATAAGACCGGTTTGCAAGCTTCCTTTCCCTGCCCTATAGCTTAAAGCTTCTCCAAATGTTTCCAATTTATTTTATTTTAGATTATTTTCAAGCCTCTAATGTAGATGAGTCTCAATCTCTCGAGCTGATTAATTGGCACCTCTTACCACACTGCACAAAAACCTCACCATTTTCACTGGAGGCTCTTCTGTGAGTGAAATTAGTCCCACCAGCACTGCTGCCTGCTCATGGTGATCCTTCTCAAACCTCACAGCCCATCCGAAACCTGCAGTCATTTGCAACCCATCCAACTCTGTTCATACTCCATCATTCCCAACACCTTCTGTGAAGGAGTGAGCCATGATCCCCAAATTATCCCAGTGCTCAGACTCAGGCAGCTGATGAAAACAACAGGCTGAGCACCAAAGGGCATCATTTCATAGCTCTGAAATACGATTAAAAACTTACAAATGATACATAACCCCTGCTGCAAAGCAGATTGACAGGCATTCCCCTCTTTCCAAAGGGCCCAGGCTTTAATCTGGCGTGCTAGAAATCCTGACAGGCCAAGTGTAACACTTTCAGCTGCACTTAAAATAGGTTACACACAGATATGCACAGAGAGAGCCAGAGGGGGAGAGAGATGGCTCATAAAACAGGCTCAAAGTACTTCATTTTGCTGCCTCAGACAATTCCTTTATTAGAAAGTATTTCTGCTGCAAGAAAGAGCTTGAAGAAGGCCTCACATAGAGTAGTGCTTTTAATGTGTGTATTTATTACTTTCCCAGTACAACCTCATGAAGAATTGTGACTGGCTATGCCAATCCCTGCAAGGATGTGTCCTTCTTCATGTGTACCAGTCTTTTTTGGTGTTTCATGCACCCAATTATTTCTGCAGCCCGTGGTTTGTGCCATTTAAAAAAAAAAAAAAGTGATTTTTGAATTTTTGGTTATACCAATCTTCCCTTCTCCCTGTCCATTTCTTTACCCCAGTCCACTGGAAAAAGCTCCTTGCCACACACACTGGCAGCTAAAAATAGTTTGAACTAAGATTTTTCCTCCTTCCCCTGTATTTGTTCATGGGATTTAAATGACTGTAAGAAGACAAATGACATATTAGGATATATTCAGCTTTTGGCAGGTTACCTAACAAGATTTTTCAGCAGAGTTTATGTCCTGTCAGATCTTTTGCATGATAACTATTGAGTATTTTTGTAATAATATTTATTCATTAAGACCATTGCTTCATCTTTCAAATTTCCTTCTCTTTTTACCTAAAAAAGTATTCTTATGAATTAAATGAAGTCACACGAGCAGATGTCTCTCAGCTCCTCTGAAAACACCTGAGTCACAGCACTGAGCAGCAATGGTCTTGGGAACATTGGTACAAATGAATTACAGCTCTAAACATTGAATCTGATTAATTAGAGGCTTTGTGAACATTTCTAATAAAGGCTGTAAATAGTCACATCTCTTTTTCCCTTGGGTCCAATGCAACTTTTTTTACTCCTCTTGATTTCACTTAAAATAAATTACCATTAACTATACCTGCCAAATAAATAAATAAATAAATAAATAAATAACCTTACTCTAAGATTAATCAGTCAAATCACCTTACAGAAAACATTTTGTTTTCTCCTGCACCTCACACTCTTCACCTGAGCCTTTCTGGCTATATGTAACTCTAACCCAGTATGATCCCACCATACCATTTCACTAAATAACCTAATTTTTAGTTCCTCAATTGCCAGGCCAAACACAGTTTAAATAATAAAACATATTTCATCTTTACCTGGTGTTTTGACACTTTGATCAGAGGTGGAAATCCCGACCTCCAGATCAGCTCTGGAATAGGAGAGAAAGAGAACAGCATCACCAGCCAATACATTCTCCACCTGAAAGAGATAAAAGTCACCATGAGGAACACCTATACTCAAGCAGCTCCTGTTGGGGCTCTGATGGATAATTACTGTACAGGTGTATCCCAAACACCTCAGGATCTACTTTAAACATTCCAGAGAACTCTTGGCAATGCCTACTTTTTATTTCCCTCTCCACTTGCAAATATAACCCTGCCATATACTCTACACACATGAAACACAGACATGCCAGTGGGCTCAGAATTAGTGACAAGGACAGGGTTTAACAGCAGCTCTGCAGTGTGCTCAGAGATTCCAAAAGGAATCCTCAAATCCAAGTGCATCATACAAGTCTTTGAAAGAATCTATCAAAAAATCTTAATAAGATTATTAAATTTTAAAAAATCACAGCATAAACCACTAATTATTGTCCTGTAGCAATGAGAAATCTTTGCTGAAAGGGATGCAGACCCTCCACTCTCCCCGTTGCCTGCTCCCGGAGCTTCTAAGCTGGGACAATGTCTCTGACTGAAAACATCTATCAGCTGCCCAGAATTTATCTGTAAGAGACACTGCTTAAATATAACTCAGAGTTGTCACTTTCAAAAACCCTCAAGTGAAAAGAAAACCTAGACATCTTCTGATAGAGAAATAACTATACTGAACAACTGCCCTCCCCTGTTTCCCTCCGTGGCCATTTGTGAACACAATCCACTGGTTCTCATCACTACTTGTGAACTGCTTTTAGAGGATTTGTGAAAGGCAAACCTAACAAGAAAGCAAGCATTATGTGGCTTAAACTCTCTATACAAGTGTCCATACCAGCAAAAAGGAAATGTTTCCACCTGTATGCTCTTATTTAATTTCTAAGTTTCCTTACCTCTGTGATCAGGTGTAAACTCCTTCCCAATTCATTCTGTAAATTCCACTGTTTCCCTGTTTCCCCTCCAAGCAAATAAATTCTCCCTCCTGTGGCAGTGATAGTGGGGCCAAGGCACACTGACAGTTCTAACACTCTAAGGGGTTCTCTGAGCCAGGCACTTTTTAGAGAAAATGCAAGGGAAAGTGACAGGCAGGCTCAGCCTGGGTGATGTTTAACACATTCCTGGTCACCTCTCTTCCATTGGTACACAGGGAAGTTTTTCACGTGGGTTTAACTTCCCAAGAGTAAGAACAACAATCCCAGTGGATCTCCTGACTTCTTGCTGCTGAAGTCACCTCCCTGAAGTGAGGAGAGTTTTGCTGATATAATGCAGTGTAATTTATGAACCACTTCAGACACAGTTTGTCCAAACGTCTTTTGAAAACTTAGTCTGGCAAGTATAAGAGCTGCATTAGCACTATGCTGCTCAAACTGCCTCAAGGGTTATCAAACGATCCATCTATCTTCCATGGAAACTGGGGGTGGAAAAGAGCTCATAGGTGCTTAGCTCATATCTCTGCCAACACAAAACTGCTCCATGCTGTGCTGCGAGAGGTTTGTCCAGTTTTTAAACTGACTTAAGAAGCTCCCACCATTTCTCCCAATGGAGAAACTATTCTCTACCATAAAAGATTTCACTGCAAAGAAACAATTCCTGACACTTAGCCTAAAATATTCCCTTGCTGACATTTTTACATTCATCTCTATTTTATACACGCATATATTTATATACACATGCTGTACAACAAAAGCCAAACTGCTCCCACTTACATCACACAGCCTTGAAAAGTCAGTCCCATTGCCTTAGTGTAAGGCTGGAAAGAATTTGTTCTCATGCTTTGTTCTTTGGGATATCTTAGTGGGGGTAACAGCTTGATTTTCATGACACACATTAAAAGAATAAATGATATAAACTGTCAGAAAACCTCACATCAAATGAAAATCTGCAATTCTGCATTAGCTGGGCCCTTGTTGAAAGTTATTTTAAAAAGCAAAAGGTGCTGGGGAGTGTGTAGGTAGTAGAATGATGTCATTTACCGGCAAGCAGATGCACTCTCTGCAAATTTTTCTCATTGCAAGAAGTTCATTTCTGTGTAGAGCTGCTGCTTCTTGGTTCTTCAAGTCCATTAAAAGGTACCATAAGCAAAACCAGCAACAAGCACATTGTAGACATGGAGATCCCTTGGCTCCTTGCAGTAAGTATTTCATCAGGGGATGTTGTGTATTTACACTTTGTTCATTTCTGACCTGCCATCTTTAAGGATACAGAACTGCAGCAGCTCCATGGCACATGTGACCCAGGAATTAATAAATCCTACATCACCAGTTGCACAATGGTTTTGCTAATCTAGCTTTTCTAGATATCCCCTAAAAATAATCTTTTTTAAGAAAACTTGTTCCTTTCAAAAGTTAAAAAATTCCTTTCAAAGCAGGAACCAGCAAAGCAATTTGTCTTTAAATTTTAATCTGAATCACTTTGATTATTGATCAGATTGTTCAATTCAATTTTCTGAAAAATTGTACCATAAGTAGTTCTAGAAAGGGGGTGTATGCTTCAGAGTTAACATCTTTATAAGTGAAATAAAAGCTGAATTTGAGCCCTGGTAGATATTAAAAACAGATGATTTTTTTCTGACTTTCACTGACAAGTCCTTCCATTAGTTTGCTCTTTAGATTTGCCAAAATTACTTGTGACATTTTATTCATTGGCACAATAACTGTAGGTCATTTTCAATAACCCATGGCTAGCCCCATACAAAGAGATTAAGCAAATTCCCTTATTTCTCATGGGAAACGTTAAGGTCAGTGTTAAGGCTACAGAAAGATGGAAGGGTTAAAATTCCACCACCAGAGCTTCTCCAGCAATTACAGATGGAAAGCAAAAGAAATCAATGTTAATTGCACCAGTCTCTCAGGAAGGGGAAACAAAAATTCGCACAACGAAAAAAATCTCTTTCTCTCTCTCTCCTTTTTAAACCGGAAAACTGAAGCACTTTATCAACATCTTTTAGTCACAGCTCTTGTGAGAAAGAAATGCTGCAGAGACCTCAAAACCAGAACACCTGATATGGTCCCCCTGACCCAGCTTTGGCCATCCTTACCTCCTGCCATCAGTCTGATTCACAAGAAAAATGCTGCTGTGGCTGGAGATGTAGGAACAGTGAGAGAAACCCACAAACGTCTCATGGCAGATTCACTGACCTTGCTCTCTTACAAATCACTGTTACAGCTGAGACCAACACCTAGGCTGAGCCCACGTCCTGATTGTTTGGGTGTCACTAATTAAGGTCAAGGAATTTACAATAGATAAGAAATTTGGGCAATTTCTACTGAGACACCACAGGGCAACTCCCAGCTCACCCCAGTTCCGCCCTTTGGATTTGTTAGTCCATTCATTCAGCCTCCGGGTGAGTCCAGTGCAGAACAAGCCACATCAGCAGAGCTGCAAGGATGGAAAGCTTTGGATGTGAGGAATTCCTTTTACACAGCTCCATACATCTCCAGATCCTCTAAAGAAAAGCAGGCCAGCAGTCTGACAAAAAACATGCTGCCTGAGCTACTGCATTTTGAGTTTGCAGTGCCATAGAGATTATGAATGCCCAAATCAGCATTTTTTCCCCCCCTGTTTTTTAAACCTAAAATGCTTTCCCTTATGGACCTAGTTTGTCCTTGTGACCTGCAGAGTGTGGCAGGTCTGCAAAAACAGGCCTTCAACAGTGGCTTTGTGAGAGTCTAAGTATGGCTCATTGAATCAAGCCAGAAGTTCCTCTGTTTATTTATTTAACTTTGCTAATGCAAACTAGCCCCCTCAGAGCTTACCTGCAACTGGAGGCTAGGATTTTTCTGGGTTTTGGTTGTGTTGGATTTCTATTTTACTTTTCTGGTTTTAAAGAAACTCAAAATCCTCAGATAAAATTAATCCCTCAGTAATACTGCTGTAATTCAGTGTACAGATAATAGTTAAATGCCGTTGCAACCAGAAATTATGATGACATAGTAATTATATTAACAGTTATCTCATTCATACTAATTTCTCTGAGAATAGAACCTGAAAATCTGAGTAACGAAATCCTTGAGAAAGGTCTCTGTTATTCTTGCAAAACTGGACTGCTTTGCTTGCAGATAAGGGACAAGTTAGCTAAAAAGAACTGGTCTGAAATAGTAAAAAGGACAAAACCACAAAGATACCTAAAACAGAAACGTGGGATAAAATGACATTTTTGTTTACTCCATAAAGCTTAGGCATGTCTGTTTGAGAAAAAAAAACCCCAACTTTTTAAAGATAAATATCTGAGATCAGGCAGACATGAAGGTGTTATCTGTGGGCAGGATTGTCCAGCAAGTCATGCACATTTTGAGATTATTAAAGTAAATCTGAAATGTAACTGTGAAATAACATTATGTGCTTCTGCCAGTGCTGCTGCATGTGGAAGAAAACATAACAGTAGTAGAATGGCTCTCCCAAGTATGTTTGAGAGATGGAGCTTTAAAATAAATCTTCCCAATTCCTCCCTTATCACCTCTATCTGTGAAATTAGATATTTAGAAGAAACTGGATTATTCAAACAGTACAGAAAATCCAGCTCACAGCATTCAAGTGCATGGTGTAAGGGTTTGGTTTGTTATCATTTCTCTTGCCTTGTAAGAAAACCAAGGACACGCTTTGCAATGCAAACTTTTTGAGATTTTTGTGGTAGCTGTAACTTTAGGAGACAAATTGCATTTATAAAGAAGGAAGGTCCAAGACAAAATATGAGTCTATTCCCAGACAATTGAAATTTCCATTCATATTGAAAGATTTTGGCAAGAAATTTCAAAGTCTTGCCGAAACCTAAAAGAGCTTTTGCTGCAGATTCTGAGGGGAAAGCAAATGGCTGATGAATGACCAGGTTTCAGGAGCAAAACTCTTCCAGTAAAAGTGCTGGCAGGTGTCTGCAATTCTGAGGGGCATGAGGCTGGAGCAGGGATCCAAGTGCTGCTTATCCACATCCCTGGAAAGCACTCTTACTGTAAGGCTTGTTATTTTCAGCTGCAAACATTTACACAGCTGGAATATTTGCCCTAGTCCTGCAGGAGAAGCAGATTATGGTGGATTCCCTATCCCTGAAAGTGTTCAAGGCCAGGCTGGATGGGGCTCTAAGTAACCTGGGTCTAGGGGAATGTGCTCCTGCCCATGGCAGGAGGGATGGAACAAAATGGTCTTTGAGGTCCCTTCCAAGCCAAGCCATTCTGTGATTTTGGGATGTTACAGGAAATATGACAAATGGTCACTGTGGATCATTTAAAAAAGCAAGAGACTTCAAGTGGACAGTCTCAAATTGGTCCGTAATTCCTATACAGAGGCAACAACATCAGCAACAGTGATAAAAAAAAGTAAATAAACTTCAAAGTGATAAGATTTTAACCCATATTTGTAATGGTAAGGATGGGGATCTTCTGTTGTCACTGAACATCATTGTTCTGATTCAATTCCTACTGGGAGAGATGCTATCACCTACCACCAATGCTATAATTCAGGGTTAGTTTGAAAGCTTAGGGAAATCCCTAATTCATTTCACACATATGAGGAAAGTATTTTGGAAAGAGGCAGCCTGGCCAGCCTTGTCATTTTTACACGTCTTCCTTGTAGCTTTCTTTTATTATTACTTTATCTTGTGGTTGAAAAAGTTGAGTTTCCTTTTCATCTTCTGCAGCCTAAACATTTCAGAAAGGATGAGCAAAGAGACGTTGATTTTTCACATTGGATGGCTTCAGCTGAGCTCCAAATTTAGAGCTATGTGCTGGCAAATGCCCCACTCTGCTCCAATTTTATTTTTTTAATGAGATACCCAGAGTAAGTGCTTTCTCAGATTATTGCCTCCCAACTTGCATGATTTAATCATGATATATGTCTTTAGTTTGGATTCTATATTTGAATTCTAAACTTGGAAGTTCAGTTTCACTCTCCAAGTCCTTAGAATACTGACTAGTATGAATTACTCACTGTATCTACATTTTTCTCTCAAATTGCACAGGGCTGGTGATCAGATCAACATTTCTAATCATGGTTTTTGTGATCCCAGTAGTACTCTGAAGAAACTACAGTGGCTGTATGAGGGACTGAAGACGGCTGTATCTGCCTTCTCCTATCTTAGATCTCTGACTTTGGATAAATACCTTGGCTGCCAAAATGAAACCTGTTCAGGTGAAAGTGCAAGGGTGGCAATTCACTTTCACAGCCTGGAATAAAACCCATAAATTTTACACCAAATTTGGTGAGGACTTCCCCAGTATCTTTATCACTGTGCACTTCCAGAAGGGGCTTCAAGCAATGGTGAGAAGAGGTCACCCAGCCAGCACACCTGAACAGGGCTCAGGTTGGACCAGAACTTTTTCAGGCCTCCAACAGAATGTCACAGCATGTGTGCAAAGGAACGAGGGAAATGATACCAGAAACTAAGGACAAAACTAATTTTACAGAAATACAGCCCTGACAACAGTGCAAGAAAAGCCATCATCTCCTCCAGGTTCCAATACATCTGAATGCTGAAACCATATTTGTCTTTGGCATCTGGCAATGTCATTTAATACATTCTTATGGCCCTGCATGCAGTTAAGCATGCACTGTATATTATTTTATGATGTTTGGATTGGAATCATACTTTCTGGGTACAAGTATTCATGTTTTTGCAGATTCTTGTGTAAAGCTGGGAGAACCTGTTTCCAATTTCATGACCGTTTATCGCTAATCCAAAATGACTGCAGCATTACCTACAGACAGGAAGCTGGATGAGGTCTTGTGTGCTTTGGATTCATCATGCTCTTCCCAGGAAACTCTGTTAAACCAGTTTTATGCTTACATGAGAGGAAGACAGAAATTACTAATGGACATGACTGTGCCTAATCTATATATAGTTTTACAAAATAAAGTTAAAACTGAGATGGGTCTTGCAGCAGCTCTTCATCCAGATGAGCTCAAATAATCATTTCAGCGTTCCATTCAGGTTTCTGCTCCTGCTTTCTGAAAGCTCCAATGGCATAAAAGCAGCCTGCACTCACTAGTCCAGGCAAGCTTCAGGAATTTTACTGGTTTTAGTCTCTAGGCCTGACAGTTAACTTTTCCTGAAATAACCAAAATCTCGCAGCAAAACAATTCTATATAATTCACACTATCATCTGGAGAGAGATTATGGTGGACTACAGTCATATTACATGTCAAAGAAAACATATTGTAGAATATTCCCTTGTGGAGCAAAAAGCAATGTTGACAAGGCAACAGATTAAACTGTCCTCCAGAACAGCTGGGAACTGCCTAAGAAAGATATACTTATCATTTTAAAAACTTCTAAAACTTTAGAGGCTCATTTTGCCCAACAGCTGATTTAGAATTATTCTAATAACTCTTGTGAGAAAAGGATTACCACTGATTTATGGCAGTCCAAGATTTTGATGGGTAGAAATACCTGTCAGATAATTCTCTTCATAATTCTGGAATTTTATGTTTAATCATAATCATACAATAAAGGTGTGCATAATTTTTTCCTGTTAGAAAGTTAGTAATTTCATTGGAACTTTGCTGAAAAGCATTAGAATCCTATTTGCTTGAGAAGGATTTGAACTGATTGGATTGTTTATTATTCTGTTCAAATACTTTGCTCATTATGTCATTCAAGCAAGGTTTTCAAGGAACATGTATGGTTGGCCAGTAAGAAAAATTACTCTAAGTTTAACTTTCAATTAATTGAACCTGTAGTTAGTTAGTGGTAAGCCTAAACAATAGCAAGCAACCATCAAAGTTGCATTTTCATTAGAAAGCATTTAATATTAAGGGACATCTACATGACCCATTCAGCACAGCAGGGAGAAAAATGCAAATATGAATTTAAAAATACTGTACATAACAGTAAGAAAACAATAAAAGATATTAGTAAGGCTCTGAATAAAGTCCTTTTTCAGAAACCATTTAAAACTATTTGATACAGTAGTGTCATACACTTTTTAGGTCATTTGTTCTTTTACAAACTTTCCTTAAGAACATGAAATGTCAGTCAACCAAGTCCAAATGCCTGCATCTAACCCCTTCCCTCATAACAATTCCATACCTAGATTTAATTCCCTGAGGAAAAGCTGTACCTACACTTGCTCCATTCTCTTGTTAGAAAATTTAAAAAGGAAACCCCCTTTATGAAGGGTACTGCTCTCAGTGCTTCTGAACACGATGGAGATCTCTGAAGAAAGTGTTTTCTAGTCTATAGGATAAAATTTGGCACTTTTTTGCTATTGAAAACAACTCATGGTTATTTGACTAACATAATCATGAATTACACCATGCTTTGGTGTTTCTTTAAATGATTTACATTTTTCTACATTACTTTATAAATGTCTTCAGGGGTTTTCTCAATAATTTTATTATTGGATTTTTATGTATTTAGTTACAGTAGATTATGATTTCCCTGGCTAGCTTTTTAACTGGCCAACCATTTAAAAAACTGGAAACGTCAAAATCAACAAAGAATATATGTCAAAGTATGCTCACAATCGATTTGTAAACCCCTAGAAATAATTACATTTGTGGGGAACTAAGAACAAAGCCATGTTTGTCCCTTGCCACTTGAGCTCTGGAGTGTGAAGCCCACCAGAATCCAACAGCTGTGAAGCCACAGGCACTGCTCAGCATCCTGAAGGGAAAACACTGAGGCAGCTCTAACAGCTCCCTGGATCCATTCAGCACAACCTCCCCTCTCCTCAGAAATACTCTGCCACTCGGGCTTAGTATTTTTTAGGCAGGTTCTGGGTGATTTTGTCAAGGAAAACAAATGAGAACCACGTCTACAAGACCACAAGGTACCGACAGAAGTCAAGCATCTCAAAAGGGAAAACTAGCATCCATCACCTTTCCCAAATGAGAAAGTATTTCAGCATGAAAGGGAAGTATGAAATAAGAATTTCTGGGATGTACAAGAATGAGTTACCTTGACAGGCTGGGGAGGCACAAGAGGATCCAGAAATCACGAGGATGGCTGTGCCCAATATCTATGTAGCAAGTCATAAAATGCTCCACACCTCTTTTCTTCTTGCAAAATAAAGGACTTGATTGATGACCACAGTCACACACCTATGCCAGGTGTCACATCCAGAGGAAAGGAGGAGAGAAAATGCTCAGTTCATGGGAAAATACCACAGTTCAAAATACCTACAGGACTACCGAGGACCCAGAAAACAGTCCATGGATGAAATGCAGGAACAAGCATCAAAAGGTGCCTGTTCCATTTCCAGCTTCCAGGACCTCTTGGTCAGACTTCAAAGAAGGTCATGAACTTTGCTGTGCCTTAATATCCACAAGATGTTTTTACATTCCAAATTATTCTCCAGCTTGTTGAGAAATAGGCTCAGTCCTTTCTGGTAAATATTTCACATGGAATAATTAAATTGCCAGCAGAGAAAAAACGTGTGTGAAATCATCAGAAACTTTCCTAACTGTTCAGAATTTTCAATTCATTGCCATTATTATTATTTTTGAAAAGTGTTTCTCTTCAAATAGCACAAATTTGTCAAAACAAAACCATTTGTGTGAATGTATCAATTTAAACTTAGAGTGCTCCATGTCCAAAACACAAATTATGTTGCAATCCCAAGATTTTTTGCTACTACCCACCTCCTCTATATCTTAAAGGTGAGAGATTTAGCTCAGGAATGCAGATTTAAGTCCTGACCAAAAGACACAATGGTCTCATTCATAGTTATTTTTTTCTTAATTGCTATTATTATCCAGACACAAAGTAGGAAAAATTCTACATCCCCATTTTATTTTGACCTTTTTTTCCCCTGTGGGCTGGGAAATCTATTTCCTGTTCAGCTTTAGGCACAACTTACTCGCCCCCACACCATTTGTCCATCCTAGGACTTTCTGTACCCTCAGTTATTCTCTCTCTTTTCCTAAAGCTGCCATCAGGGAATCACTGCTCCAGGTTCATTTTTGAGCAACTTCCAGGGCTAAAATGTGTCTGTCAAAGCAAGTGCAGTGCTTCCTGTTAGTTATATTCAACCTGTGCAGGCAGAGCTTGGCCCAAGTCCTGCACATCCAGCAGCTCTGAGTTTGTGAACCTTGTTGGCTTCTCATTTCAGGAGACAAACCAGCCTTTCCCACAGCAACCTGCTGTATGTTTAAACAAAAAACAAAAAAAACAACCAACCAACTAAACATATGGGTTTCTGAACACACTGAAAATATATAAGACCAATAAGTTCCAGCTGCTTTGCACTCCTTTGGCAGCAGAAAAGAGCTGTAAAGCTGTTTTATCTCTGTTTAGCCAAGCCCATGGATACTTTGCATCATTGGAGTATGGAAAAGTCAGGACTTTATACTGAATCTGGCCAGTAGAAAATATTACACTGCTACTACATAAAGCACAGAGAGATAAGACACAAAGCTACCTTCAGCCTGCTGTACACTATTATTTTGAACTAAATCTTGTCACAGGTTGCCCAGAAGGGGAGGAAGAATCTTCATTTTGTTCATCTCAGTTATGTATCTGAAAAATGCTCCAGGCACATGCTTCTTTAAAGGTACTCAAGGCAACAAATAACCACATTTAAATGTTCCAAAAGTATCAGTTTTTAATGATACTTTGAATGCATTTTGTTATACCACATATTTGAAATATTATGAAAATTGGCAAAGTTGTCTCATTTTAAACAGACAGTATTTTATACAGGGGATATATATTTTAAATACATGTGCAATAAATTTTAAGCAAATGCATTACAAGCATATAGAAAACCTGTATTTTTTTTCCATGTGCAAAGCAATGATCCCTGTTACTGCCATTTTATTGCTCACTGCAGACAGTTATGTGAAGCAGACTGCATTCATTTTATTTTTTTTTTTTTTTCTCCTAGAAATCTGGAAAATTTTTGCAGATCCCTCACTTACCGTTAGCACGATAACTGAACCCTATTACAGACACCGTGTAGCTGCAGTGTAAAAGCTACTCCTTGAGCTCTACTGACAGAGCTGTGTGTTTCAACATGAGCTCTTAAAAAGCTGGAAAGCAAATCAGTCCTACTTGGGTTCATGTCCTTGCTCCTCAGAGATCCATATCTTTATACCCTTGACTTAATCATGCTGCATCTGAAAGCTTCCACTCAGTTTCCTCTCAGTACTGGAAATATCTGCATCAGAAGCAGAGGGCCACTGTTAAAATAACCTGGTGACTAAACCAAGGATTACTTGCAAAATCCCCCTAATGTTGGTGGAGTGATTTCATTTCACAACCAATTTGTTGTCACTTCCAAATTTTAGAGTGTTTTGAGCACTGAGAGAGCAGGAGCTCGGGGTTTAGCACTCGGGATCATAGATCCTTCTTGGCTGTAAAACAGCTTTTGTTTGTTAAGAGTGAATTCCCAGCTGAAAGTAAATTTATTCATATGCTATAGTAAAACCAAACAACTGATCTGCCTGGGATGCAGAGTTCCAAGCCATTCTGTGGCACCTCTCAGGTGCCCAAACAATAAGAAATTAGGAATCAGAAGAAAGACAGATCTGTTCTCCAATGGTGTAAACGTTTGATCCTACTTATAGAGAAAATTATTTTGTTCAGGGGCAAATCTATTTCTGGAACTTTAAGAGATTTTTGATTGTCATCTCATCCTGTTATTGTTATTTTATTTCAACAGCCAGCTATTTTAGTATTTCAGTTTCTACACCATTGCAGACCAGATCTGTCCTCTTTTGACAGATCTGAAATACCAGGGTGTGCAGAACATGCAGTCATTTTACTGCTTTTTCAGATAATAAATTTTACTCTCCACATAAGAAATTGTTTAAATCATATCCAGACACAAGCTTGCTTCGGAGGCTCCTGCCTTGAGCCATTAAACAGTATCTTCCCCACTGCTGGGCAAAGAACAATACTCAATTTCCCCCATCAAACCCCATCCTGACCACAGGCAGTAGATGACACCTCAGACTTACTGAGAAATCCTCTCTGAGGCTTCAGGCTCTTGCTAGCTATTTCTGCACCCTGTGTATGTGTACCAACTGAAAATGAAGAAGCCTGGCATCTGAACAGACACAAAAATTTGTCAAAGTCTCAAAGACACAAATGTGGTTCTGGAATCACCAGCTAAATAGGTGACAGGACGTTTAATTGCTTATATGGCAAAATACTTCATTACTTAATAATTCATGAGTTACACAGTAATCAGCAGCTCTGAGCCACAGCACTTCAGTTCTCAAGAAACGCTGTTTTCTAAGACAAATGATGAACGTTGATATTCTCTCTTTCTTCCTCTTATTTTAGTGGTGTGGTAAAGGATTTATTAAAGTCTTACAGTGACTTTAGATGTAATCAAAGAAAAAAAAATATATTGAAATGGTGACTACAACGCACATCATGGTAAACATCCCAGCTTAAACTAATCCAGGTAACAACAGCAAGAGAATGCACAGCATTATGGGTCTGTGATTCCTGCACATAATCACAGCTGGGGAAGGCTTTGCACTCTGTTTTGATGTATATAAAAACTTGTGCCATCTCTGCTCTGCTGTTATTCCATCATGCTGAGCAGGATGAGTTAAGACAGGGATGCAAGCACATGCCAAATGCCTCTGGTTTTATACATGGATTTACTCTCATAATTACATGTCACACCCTGACTGTGGTGCTGGAAGCCAATGCATCCCAGTGGGTATGAGATTGCTTGGAAACACCTCCCAAAATGGGAAAGTTCTGTAAAGTTCATGCATCTTTGTGTATTTAAATGACAGGTATGATACACAAAACCCCATGCATATTTATATATATTTATAGATAGAGTGCATGTCTTCAACTGTAAAGACACATAATTAGTCATCATATAAATTTCAGACATATATGTTAATCATATGATTGGTTACCACCATTGTTAATGGGTAAATCATGTTGCAAAACTTACATTAATCTATATCTGCACTGCATAAATTGTCATAGATCACTGTTAAGGTCATGTGTGTGTCTTTATTTTTCATTTGAAAGTCAAATATTTTTTAGGATTTTCTTTTTTTTTTCTTTTTTTTTTTTTTTTATGAGGGATAAATGGCTTTGCCCAATCATCTTGGGCAGCTTTACTTAATGGTACATATTTCCTAAATTTCTCTGAGTACAATGAGACTGATTTCCACCCTTCCTCAACTGGCTCCAAAAAATGAGCCAGTTGTGGCCACGTCTCTGAAGATGCTTCAGTACAATTCTTCTGGAATGAACTATCTTCTTATACACTAAAAATATACCAGGGCCAAAAATCAGTGTGTGTGTATCTGTGCTTCCACTTACCATCTCCCCCGTTACCCAGAGGCTGCCTCAGAGTCCAAGTTCACAATGAAATTCCAAGAAAGCCATATGATGGTATTTCCATCGAACATCAGAAGTATGTCTACCTCTCACACACTGCCAACTGACTCTGAAGAAAAGAAAGAAAGAATTCAAAATTATTTTCTAAGGGGTGAAGCCAACTCTGACTCTTTTTTTATCACTACCTGCACTGAAAGATGTCACAAACATCCGGGAGCATAATCCAAGCAAGGCTGAACACTTTGGCAATTCCCTCCTGTATTATTAAACATGCATTCACTTTGGTTTGCTTTTGTGGGAATATTTCTGCAAAGTATATTTGTATACATCAGTTTTTATGAAGGAACAAGTGTTCCTCTGAATGCAGCACCTGAACAAATACTATTGCATGTATGTCTGTAAATATCTAAACTAATGTGAATCAGCAGTGGAACTGCTGCTTTGACCACCCTGTCTGTAAAGCAGGCCCTGTCTTCAAGAAATTTGACCAGAAAGAAATTAAATGAAAAACCTGTAGGTCAGCCAAAATATCTGGCTTGTGTCTTTCTCTCTTCCTCAGGCAGGAAGGAGCCCAGATATTTCTGAGTCTGGTGTCCAGGTACATAGCCAAAACCAAATGTTACTTCTGCTGGAGAAGAAGACAGGAAAAGGTTTTATACATTCTGAAGATTTCAGAAGGCTTGGTACTCTCCTCTTACTTTGTCTTTGGTGTGTCACACACTCTTATCCTAATATAA